CTCTGCTGCACAGCCTTGCAGCTCAAAATTCTGACACTCACGACACACGCCACTCGCAGCGGGATGATCTACCGCACGACAAGAAGGACGCGCGGTCGGTGATGCGCGCGCGGCAAATAAATCGCGACTCGTGACTCTTCTGCATCGCGTGTGCTTTCGATCTTTGGGTGAACATACGTCAAGCTGCGCGCCTTCATGTGGATGATGTGCTTCGCTCACGCCACCACCCTCCTGTTGTCATTGCCTCAACAATATCAGCCCGCTCTGCGCATTGTAACCCTTTCATGCCGGTCGCGGAACACGTCCGCGGAACACGTCGCATGGGCTAGACACGGCGACTTTTGGCACCCGCCCTGCGCTGCATTCCAGCCAACGTCAGGGGAATCGCACACTCTCTCACTCGAATCTTCCACAGGCGTTCTGCAATCAGCTCAGCTCGACGTGAGGTTGTATCGAAGCGATCAGGACTCTTCTGTAAAGGCAAGACTTCTTCATCTTCAGCCGCTTCGTCGTCAGCCCCACGAGCAGCATGTCGACCTCCACATCAGGCTCCTCCTCCTACTCCAGCCCCGCACCACCCACCTTTTTACCAACCGCAGCGCTGGACCATGCTCTTTCGGGCATCACAGCAGGAGCAGTAGCGACAGTATGTATGCAGCCGCTGGACCTGATCAAGACGCAGTTCCAAGTACGCACCACTCCACTGGGACGTTGGGCTAGCGATCTGGGCCGGGCGAGGATCGAGGCGGCTGAGAGGCACGGAGCTGCTGGTGCTGCTTCTTCTCGTCCAAGTGGCTCGGATCGCAGCATTCCAGTCCAAAAGTCGAGATATCTGCGACGTGCAAGGATACCTTGGCAGAGGGTGCTGGGAGTGCACATGGCCAAGGACATGAGCAGGGCTTGGTCTGAGATTGTCAAGCGCGACGGCTGGCAAGGGTTATATCGGGGTTTGGGACCCAATGTGGCGGGCAACAGCGCCAGCTGGGGTCTCTACTTTCTCTGGTGAGCTGTGCCCTCGCAGACGATTGCGACTTTCTGCCGTCGTGACTTTGCAAAGGGGAGTGACGGCTCATCAGAGCTACCGTCCGCCACCACTCCCGAACAGGTACACAATGATCAAGGACTACATGGCGCGCCAAGATTCGAGCGACGGGGGCAAAAAGTTGAGTCCTGGGCAGCATTTGCTAGCTGCTAGTGAGAGCGGTGAGTGTCTTTAAAGGTATCAAGAGGCTCGCGACGCGCCCACGGCACTGAACCCCGCCACTTCCCAACAGGCGCAATCACTGCTCTCATGACGAATCCAATCTGGGTGGTCAAGACACGCATGTTCACCACCTCTCCCAACGCCGCTGCCACCTCTACTAGTCTGTCTGCCATCTCAGCAGCAAACCCGACCTCTACACCTTCTCCGTCCATTTCAGCCGCCCACAACGCAACACTCTACCGAGGCTTGATGCACGGCCTGCGGGAAATATGGAGGTACGAAGGTGTAAAGGGTCTCTACAAAGGTGCTGGATTGGCATTATTTGGAGTTAGCAACGGCGCTATACAATTTGTGGCGTACGAGGAAGGGCGAAGATGGAGGAGCGACAAAGCTAGAAGGAGGGCAGCGGCCGCCAGTGGCACCCGGAGTAGCTCCCCCACTGCATCTGGACAGCGCGAGAATGACCTCGTCAAATTGGTGAGCGACCCGGCCTGACTTTGTCGCGCTGAAAAGCGAGCTGATTGCGTCGATTGCACGCGACAGAGCAACACCGAGTATGTCGTCATCTCGGGCCTCTCTAAATTCCTCGCCATCGTAATCACCTATCCGTATCAGGTCATTCGATCGCGCATTCAAGTAAGTCTAGAAAGGCGCGAGATTCGGTAGCACATAAAAGCTGAGTGTCGTCGTCCTTCGAATCGACCAGAATCAAGCGACGTCGCACATCTACACTTCCATTCCAACATGCATAAGACTGACTTACACTCAGGAAGGATTGGGAGCCTTCTATCGCGGCATGGCCCCTAATGCCGTTCGCATCATTCCAGGAACTTGCGTCACCTTTGTCGTGTACGAGAATATGAGCTGGGCGCTCAAGGGAGCCGCTTCTAGACGCGCAGGTTTCGACGTCACCGATGCGAAAGAAGTTCATAGAGAGGTATAACAGATAGAGCTTGCTGTCGATAGAGACGCTTGTCGCCACACTCCTCGCATCACTCCTCCGCATAGATAATACCAAGAGACATTCTACAAAGGACACGGAGATGATGTACATCTATGTTTGGAGCTTTACTGACACTCGAATGTGGCATCGTAAATGGCGTCGTGGATGCCGCCGGTGGTGGAATGGTGAGCATCAGCAGCCTTCCATGGCTTATACCTGTGCGACACGGCTGGAGCGTCCAAGCCGACAGGCAGCCCAAAGTCGAATTTTGGCCAAGCAGGGGGCACGACGGTTTCGGCGGGCGCAGCAGCGCGCGGTCGCTTCTTTCGACGCAGACCTCTCCTGGGCTTTGCCAGCAATTCGTCTTCCGACAACTTTGCCTCACGCCCCACCGAGTACACCTCCAACTCGCGCTTACACCACTCTAGTGCCGCTTCCTCTTCATCCATGTGTAGAAGATCCTCATCTCGCCGACGCAGCCCCTCGACAAGGTAGGCGTACCTCGCGTCGATTAGGGTTTTTGCGCGGACATATGGTCGGTACACATATCGAGCGCGTTCCTCGTAATGCCGTTGCACGAGACGCGCGCGGCTCTTGGCGTACATCATATCCATCGCATCCATCCGTGCTCTGCGAAGTCTGCGCAGAAGAGCGCGCAAAGGTGCGGACCGTTTGAGATCGATCGGCGTAAAGTCCGAAAAGGAGTAGTACCTGTATCGCTGGAGCGGTGGCGTATCAGAAGCGACCGCAGTCCTTGTAAATTCTGCTCTCCGTGCCAATCTGTCCAGCATGCGCCGCTGATTTTCGCGCAGAGAGGTTACGCTCGCTTCCCTTTGCTTGCGATGATTGTTGATCGCTGCACCAAACATACTGGCACAGAAGGTCGATGCGAGTCGGGTGCTGTTGCGACCAATCAGCACATCAACGAGAACGAGATAGCTCTTTAAATCTGCTGCGGGTAGCATGAGCCGCGAGGATCCTGATGGTGCCCCGAGACCTGGAACACTTCGATCAGCACGCTCGGGGTGTCGGAACATCGCCATGCCGTCCGCAATCGTCCCTAGACGAACTTTGTCAAGCTTGTTCGGAGCCGTGCCCAGGGCATAGAAGACGACGGCCCAGACATTTGCATCAGGCTCCACTTTGAGCCTTTGAAAGTCGTTCAGAACTCGCAAGGCTATGGGCGTGCGCTGGGATGGCGCAGCAGCCTCGATCCAGCTCTCGGCTATCTGCACCATGTTGTGCGCGTCTGGAGCAAGAGAAGCTTGTTCTGCGTCCAATTCCGCAGCGCCCTGCTTTGCCGAGGCGGATGGAGAAGGATTGGCAAAGGCAGCTTCGAGCCACATGCTGTAGAGTCGCTCCAATTTTGAGGCGTCTCGACCACAAGCTGCTGCAAAAGTACGGAGCATCAAGGATGCTGATCTCCTGCTTGGCCATGCCTTGTTACTGAGGTCAGTCCGACGATCCGGACGCGCAGATCCAAACACCAATGTGCGCATGTCCTCGCTCACACCGTACGCGTCCATGAAATGTTGTTTCCAGATGGCATTTGCATCCTGATATCGGCAATCACGCAGCGCGCGCGCCAATAAGGCAGTTTGCCATAGTTTTGCTCCCTCGTCGATTTTGCCAATGGCAATGTCCAGCGCTCGATTCTGTGCCACGTCAAGTCGATTTGACAATGCGAGCAGGTAGCGCACGCTGGGCATACGCACGCTGCGGCTCAAATTCCGATCTTGTCGTGCTCTTGCAAGACTGTTCAGTAGCGCCGCATACCTTTCTTGAACCGAGCCGTCGCTCATGAGCTCTAGCTCTGCAATAGGTGGCTCCTGGATTGCCTGCACTGCGGCGGAAAGTAGAGAGACGCCAACGTCACCCAGCTCCTCGAGCTGCATGAGGATGCCATGCACGCTTTCTGGAAGCTCCTTTTCGTTGAAGAGGTACTCTTCTGCGTCCCGACTTGTGTCTTGAGGAGTCAGTGCAGGTGCGCTGGTCGCCTCTCGTCGCATCAGGGCCGAGACGACGACCTTCACAACCGCCTCCCTGACGGGTACCTCGTCATCGTTCTCTTGACTTTTTGAGAGGGCAGCCAGCAGCCACTTGAGAGCTTCCTCCGGTCTGCCGGCCTTTACGTGCGCGATCGTGCCGGCGTTGAACAAATCGGTGAGCTGAGGTGACATTGCGCTGGTGTCTGCTCTCCCACAAGCCATGGCGTGCGCCCGCGCAAGCTCTTCAAAATATTCCAAGTACGATTTGCGAGCCGCAGCATCCGAACCCGGACGATGTGATCTCAGGATAGTCAAGTAGGCCCTCTTGATGGACGGGTACGCTGCTCCGTCCAAAAACCCACCTCGGACAATCAGTCTGAGCGCCTCGCACAGATGACCCAGATGGAGGGATCGGGCAGCAAACTGCGCGCGCAAGCCTCGAGCTACGGCGGCGAGGTCTGCATCTGACTGGTACACCCTTGAGCCGGCATCCTTCGCCTCTGGTGTCTCTGAAGAGGCCGACATCTGAGCAGTCGCCGCTCCTGGCACCCCGAGCAATCGCAACCAGAGCAGAGTGTCATCGATCTGCTTCTCCTCCATACAGTATCGAGCGGCAGTCGCATAAGCTGGGCTTGGATCCAGCTGCGTGCCGAGTTCGGACAGCTCCCGAACGAGCTGCGTTGCTGCTGGAACATCGCCATGCTGAATGCGCTGTACAACAAGTCGGGTCGGCCCAGTTTGGGCATGCAATCGCGAGGCCGTGTCGAGGACTGGGACAGCCGTTGAGCTCTCACCAACATAGACGTGCTCTGCAGCCTTGACTGAAACATATTCTGTGCCCTCCTCGTCTTCGAACAGCGAAGAGTCTACACCTCGGGGATGAAGAGCGGTGTTGGACTGAGAGCGCGCGGATGGTGTGTGGCCGAGGAAGCTAAACGTCAAAGCTGTGCGCCGCGTCAGCGTGCTAGACTCCGATCTTGCGCCGCAGTCACCGAGTGAGAGACTGAGGGTCGTGGAATAGGGTCTTGCAGTGGAGCAGCAATGGGGGCATGTGGGAGGGCCGACCTGCGTGCCTGCCAGAAGCCGAGGTCTAGCTGCGCGAGCTGCTTGGAGCAGCGCTTGACCAACCCCTGCGCCGGAGAGCCCAGTGGTCACCATTTCATCACCGCGAGGTGCGCCTGAGGGATGCAGTGGTGGTCCTGGAAGGCAACATGCAACGCTCAAATCTCGTCTTGTTGCGCAGAGTGTTGAAGCTGCGATCGAGCAATCAAAGTGTCGAAGATCTGAGGCGGAGTTGCGCAGGCACGAGCGCAGATGCGCACGTGGCTGGTTCAGCTGCATGGCTTAATTGCATGAGCACAGATCACACTTGCTGCTGGGCCCGCTGCTGCCTGCTCCGTGGGCGCGCGCGGGTCTGCACGCACATCGCCCCCTAGCAGGAGATCCGCCCTGCATGCGTCCAGCCAGGAGCAGCAGCGACTCGATTGATGGGTACGATCAAGTGGACCTCGACCCACAGCTCCTCATCCATCAGCAATACGCCGCCTGGTTGCTGATTCTTTCTTGGATCACGCTCCCAGCTGTGTCAAAGCGGCAAAACGCACCGCTCACTTCTACCAGCATCCTCCAACGAGTAACAACAGTTGCGCATCATGTCGGACCCTCGCATCTCGGCCCGAGAGGCCTTTGAAATCAACGCTGCTGCTGCGTAAGTCGGGCGCTCCCTTTTTCGGAAGGCTCTCATCAGCAACCTACTGACTTGGTGTGCTATCGTGCAGCGTCAAGGAGTACAACGTCGACCCTCGTTTGGATTACAGGACGGTCTCCGCCATCAATGGGTGAGAGAGAGCCAAGCCGATCGCAGGCGAGATGACCAGCTTTGGCTGACCCTTGGTAATCGTGCTCAGACCTCTGGTTGTTCTCGATAACGTCAAGGTGAGCAGCCAAGAGTGATGCTTGTATGCTCGATGTGCTGACTTGAGCGCAACACTCGCGCTGCTAGTTTCCTTCCTACAATGAGATCGTCTCCCTCACCCTGCCCGACGGCTCTCGCCGAGGCGGTCAAGTCCTGGAAGTCAGCGGCAGCAAAGCCATTGTGCAAGTCTTCGAGGGCACTTCCGGCATCGATGTTCGTGACACGCATATTGAGTTCACAGGCTCGAGCATGAAGCTGCCAGTCTCGGAGGACATGCTGGGTCGTATTTTCAATGGATCTGGTAACCCTGTAGACAAGGGACCCAAGGTGTTTGCGGAAGATTATCTCGACATCAATGGTGGGTACGAGGCTCTTGCTACTGGGTCACCTAGATGCTGCAGACGAGGTCATGTGCGATCCCTTGCAGCCGCTTACATGCTGCCCTCCATTCTCTCCAGGCTCTCCCATCAACCCGTACTCCCGCGTGTACCCCGAGGAGATGATTCAGACGGGTATCAGTACGATCGACGTCATGAACAGCATTGCTCGTGGACAAAAGATTCCAATCTTTAGCGCTTCAGGTTTGCCGCACAACCAAATCGCTGCCCAAATCTGCAGGCAGGCAGGTTTGGTTCGCAAGCCAGGATCTGCTTCGGACGGCGCGGCTGCTCCCAGCAAAGGCATTCACGACGATCACGAAGACAACTTCAGCATCGTCTTTGCTGCTATGGGTGTCAATATGGAGACTGCTCGTTTCTTCAAGCAGGACTTTGAGGAGAATGGATCGCTTGACCGTGTCACCTTGTTCCTCAACTTGGCCAACGACCCGACGTGAGTGTCGCGGCCGGGACTGGCAACGAGCGCCACTGACTTCCGCCTTTTTCTTACGCAGCATCGAGCGTATCATCACACCGCGCTTGGCACTCACCACTGCAGAATACTACGCTTATCAGCTTGAGAAGCACGTGCTGGTCGTATTGACGGATATGACTTCGTACGCCGACGCCCTTCGTGAGGTATCCGCAGCTCGTGAAGAAGTGCCGGGTCGTCGTGGTTACCCTGGTTACATGTACACGGACTTGTCCACCATCTACGAGCGTGCTGGTCGCGTCGCCGGCAGGAATGGGTCCATTACCCAAATTCCCATCTTGACCATGCCCAACGACGACATTACTCACCCAATTCCTGACTTGACGGGATACATTGTAAGTACCGCGCGTCCGCGTGCGCAGAAAGCCTGAGCTGACGTCGATATTGCATCCTGACCAGACCGAGGGCCAGATCTACGTCGATCGCGGTCTCAGCAACAGACAGATCTACCCTCCCATCAACGTCTTGCCTTCTCTTTCGCGATTGATGAAGTCTGCTATCGGCGCCAAGCACACTCGTGAGGACCATGGGGACGTTTCGAACCAGCTGTACGCAGGTTATGCGGTCGGTCGTGACGCGGCCTCGATGAAGGCCGTCGTTGGTGAGGAAGCCCTTTCTCAAGAGGACAAGCTTTCGCTCGAGTTCATGCAGCGCTTTGAGCAAGAATTCGTTCAGCAAGGAGAGTACGAGGCGAGGACCATCTACGACAGCTTGGATATTGGATGGGATCTGCTGCGCATCTTCCCTAGGCAATCTCTCAACCGTATCAATCCCAAGATTATTCAGGCCTACTACTCGCGCCGGACAGGCAAAAAGAAGGAGCAAGAATCTGCAGCTGCAGCAGATGAGTCCAAGAAAGCCCAGAACAAGGGCACGAGGGACACTGGCGATGCCAAGCTCGTGGATGATGAGTAAGTCATCCTCTCTCTACATTGAGAGCACGCACATGACCCCTCTGCTTGTACATACGAACGTCCGCCAGCGCAATAGCCGATCCTCCGTCTGCCCAGTGACCTATCTGGTCAGCTCCCGTTCGTAGTGAGCTCCCGTTCGTGGTGTTCAGATGCTATGTGCTTCTCTTTGAGCATCTCGGATCCCGTCTGCGCATGCTCAGACACCTTGGCACGACGATTGATATCGCAACAACTTAAAGCTGATGGATTGCTTGGCGTCATCTTTGAAGCGGATTAGAAATCAGATCGACATGGTGTGTATCAAATACTTACTCTCGCAGGACAGTTTCATCCACATTCAAGATTCTAATCGTGAATCTTTATGTTTGACCCGAACATTTCCTGATCACGTGGCGCCACTTTGCGTGAGGCGCGCGTTTCCGCGGAAACGAACCCCGCTTACAGCAGAGAGGCTGTGCGAAGAGAAGAATCACGCACGCACGCATCCCTGCTGCTGCCGATGCTGAGCAGCCCGCTCGCGACTGAGCTAGATTCGCTTTGATGGGGCTGGGAGAAGGGCAATGAGCACTTTGCTGTCAGACCATCATCTCGCGTCGAGCAACAAGACATCCGCAGGACGGGCAAGCGGCGCCATCATTCCCACGCCGCGCTCGTGGTTCAGGACAGCCAGCACCCGACACGAAAATAACATTGGCGCTCAACAGATTGTGCTCCCGCCCGCCATAAAGAGACTGTTGAGCGGCTTTCAACGCTGCAAGTCTGCCCCCGTCAACTTGAGGACTCGTAGAGTGAGCAACGCAGCCGGGTAGCAGTCTGCTGTGATCTCTACTTGGACAAGCCGTGCGCGCCAAGGGCATATCGACTTGCTCTTCACATCACGACTGCGCGGGAGGCCAAGAGGCAGTGGTTGTGCGCTCGGTAAGAGCACTTTGTTCGCCGGCATTACTTGTTGACAAAGCTCAACCTTTCTGGTACGTGCCTCTCTAATAGCCATAGCCAGGTACGCCAAAGATAGTCCCTGAGCTCGCCCAAGCTCTGCATCGCACAGGTTCAGCAGTTTAAGAATCTTGATTGCATTTGGGTAAATATGCCTGCTGGTCACAGTATGCGCTTGTAATCGATCGGATCGGTCGCGCGACGGAGACAGCAAGGAGCAAAGATTAACCAGCAGCGCTGGCCTTCCATTGCCTTTGCCCTACACCCAGACAAGATGCTGATATAGAATACGACGTCTTTCTTTCCGGCTGCCACGCCTCTCTGCCTCGACCTACCCAACATGTCTTCACCGCACGCGACGCAAGCTCCAAACATTCAGCCACAGCCAAAGGGACGGCGAACACGCAGCCTTCGCTCTTGTCTCGCGTGTCGCAAAGCCAAGCAGCGCTGCGAGTTGCCGGATTCTCCAGCCTGCATCCCGAGCAAAGAGCCGCAGCCTGCGAATCTGGTCTGTCGAAGATGCAATGTGATGCGCTTCGACTGCGTCGTCAGCGATCCGCTGCCCGAAAGCGTGACCAGCGGCAAAGCTGCGTCTCGAAAGCGAAAGCGCACACAGCAAGACTCGCCAGCAGTGGGACAGCGGCAACAGGCACCTCACCACAGTAGTGGATCTCAAAGTCACTCGTCCATAGCCTCCTCATCCGTGTCCCTCTACAATGGCTCCGGGCCATCTCCGCCGACTTCTAATGCTCCCTTGGACGCAACTTCCAGCTCGAGCTCACGTCCAGACTGTTCGCGCACTCCGGACGAGCGGTCACCAGAGTACGAACGTGGGAGCGGTGCGCTTTCATATCGCAGCATCGGTCATTCGTCCAGCATCCTGCATCCGCTCACCTCTTTCGAGCGATCTTGCAGCGATCGCAGCTCTACAAAGCATGGCGAGGTGAGAGAGCGTGAATGTCGAAGCGCAGGGCTGGACCTCACTGGGAACGTGCCCCTTGACAACGTCTCTGGCGCTCCACCATACAAACGTCGTCCACTGCCCAATGCTGTTCCTGCTGCGAGACCCGCAAGCAGCCATAGCGCCCTCAGCATGATGACGAGTAACACTGACCCTCAAACGAGCAGACCTCCGCAGCGTCTCATCCACGAATTACAAGTCTTTGATCCTTCTCCGTCTTTTGGCATACGCCAACTCGATGCAAATGTGCGAGCCAGCGACGAGGTCTCACAGCGTCGTGCGGGCTCTGATCAGGCTTCGCGGGAGCCAGAGTGGATGCAGCGCTTGAAGGTGGTCATGCTGCCTTTCCTTCTCCTCGACAAGCTCTGCTCGGTCCAGTGTGACAAGCTGACGCTGGTGGATGGGGACCTCGCCACGCCGCCGGACGAGAATCTGGATCCCAGCGTGGGCTCTTCCGACATCGAGCCGTTCTTGGCGTTGCTTGATCGTATGTCGATTGGCGGCCAGCAAGTCGCGGAGCTGGATGAGAGGCTCGAAGACCTCGTCGCGACTCTACCATGGTTGCCCTCCATCTCTACTCTGCTGAGCGCCGCTCGACGCTTCGAGGAAAAAGTCTTGAATCTGCTTGTCGCATGTCTCTACTTTGCGGCTGGCAAAGCAAAGTGGTTGCATTTCAAAGCTGCCCTTTTGCCCTGGCTCCGCAGAGGCTGCCTTGGCTGCTTGTTGCAGGCGCCTCAAGGACCGGAAGACGTAGCCTTCTTGCTCTACGTCGCTCTCTATGAGCCTCTGCTGCTCAACAGCGCTTCGGGTGCCCGCTCGCTGGATGGCAAAGGCTTTCTGGCGTCTGCCAGCGCGGCCGCTCGCAACTTGGGACTTGACAGGGCCCCAGCACGTTTGGCAGCGGCGCTACACGAGTTGCCGCCAGGTGCAGACCTCGGATCGCTGGCCACGGTGCAGCAAGAAGCGGTGTTGTGGGTCTCGCTTAGCCTTCACGCCGTCACTCGCTCGATGGCGGAGACGATAGATAGAGAACCCATGGCTCGCTGCACCGAGGAAGACTGCGAGGCAGTTGTCCATCTCGCCGATCGACTTGGGCAGAATCGCTCGCCTCAAGCTACTTGGAGAGCGATCGGTCTGTATCTCTTGGCTGAGCACGCCAAGCTTGCCGAACATGGCCGCCAGCTCGATAGAACCTCGTGCAAGGCCCTAAGTCGGAAGTTCAAGACCAGCGACGAATTTCACCTCGAAGCTGAAAAGGTCGCCGAGGACTACGACACGTACCGAATCAAAGTGGCGGAGCGGATGGCGATTTTCTGGAGACGCTGCCGTGCTCTCGGCTTCGAGGACGAGAGTGTCGTCGATTGGGTGAATATCGAATTCATCTTTCTCATGCTGCTGTGTGAGTATGACGGTCGCATCGAGAGATGAAGATGATCTCATGACTACGCTACATTCGCAGGCATGTGTCGACTGTCTGAGGCTGTTTTTGATGTCTGCCGTCACTTTTGCGACATTTCGGAATCCGGCACCTTTATGGCAGCGTTGATGAAAGACGGCCCTTTGGTGCGAGCAGCGGTGATCACGACGGGCAGAAGAGCAGATATGACAAGGCACGCTCTCGTTTGCCTTTCGAACTTTCATCAGCAGCATTTTGCTTCGCGCATAGGCAAGACCTACGCTAGAGGCCGTTCTCTCGCCACGTCGATCTCGCCAATCTACATTTGTGCGATGCTGGTTCAAGCTGCCAAGCAGTTGGCAGAAGAAGTTGCAGGTAAGTCGCGCTATTGCCGATTGCAAGCTCGCGCTCACGCGGTGCTGCACTCAAAACAGGACACTACCTCGATCGACGGCGTACGAGCCGCTCTGCTGGGGAGACTTATCTTGTAGCCCAATCAGCACTTCTACTTCGCAGCACCACCCAGGCGTTGCTCGACTTTGGGGGCATCGCAGGAAAGACCGAGGCAGAGCGCTCCGAGCTCATCCGGATGGGGAACTTGTTTGGGATCTCTGCGAACTGCGTGGAGAAGACTGCCCGTGTCATTCACGAATGGGGAGCAACCGCTCGAGGACTCCGTCAGTCGCTGCAAATTTCCGAGCCTACAAATGGTGAGGACGTAGCACCCACGGGCATGATGTCAGATGGTCCCAGAGGCCCGAGCCTGCTTCGTGGGGATAAAAGGCGATCAGCGACCACCAACGAATTAGCCAGTGAACACTCGGCGCGTGGCCAAGATACTGCTGGTGAGCCAGCGTTACCACCGCCCAACGGACCTTTTGGCAACTCCATCGACTTTTTGGGCGGGCCGGAAGAAGACTTGGATGCGTTCATACGCCAATTGCTCGACGAGCCTCTGGACTTTTTCACGTGGGTGCCGCAACCCTGATTGTAGACGAGTGCGATGTCTAGCGCGTAACGCTTCCTGCATATGATACAATGTCACGATTTCTAAAAGAGCGACGGAGTGGTGATCAGAATGAGGTCTCGAGAGGCGATTTGGTAAAGTGCCACCCGTTAGAACCTCGGCAAGAGTATTCTGCCGTTCTCGTTTTGCATCCAAGAAGCAAGCTGAGGCGTGGAAATGAGCTGGCAAGCCAAACGCGAGCTTTCCTCCCTGCCAATCGCATACTCCAGCATGTCTTGTTCTTCATCCATCGGCGTTGCCTTTGGGTTGTCGACCAGAGCGGATGCAGACGGCGGTGACTGGATAGAGAAGCGTTGTCTCGGAGCAAAAGGTAAGGCGGCGTCTTTGGGAGCGTCTACGGTCAGTGAGGCATCTGCAGTGCGAGTGGGCGTCACTAGGTATACATGACACGTGGCGCATTCGCCTGTACCAGACCCGCATCGAAGCGTGTCAGCGCGTGTCCGCATGAGGACGATCAGCAGACGGCGTCGCAGCTACTCACAGACACCTCCACAGGTAGCCTCGATGGAGGGTAGATTGGCGCGCTTTGCAGCATCTTTGATGGTCTCTCCGACTGTACTGTGCACTTCGTGCTCTTCACCTTGCCAGTCGACGAAACGCAAAGTGACCGGCTGACCGGTCGCTGCACTCTCTCTTGGCGCTTGAGGAGTGGCTTGTAGCTCCGACGATGATGCTGCAACAGCAACGGGGTCCGTGGCGCTGTCTTGGCTGCCAGTTGTTGACTTGATCACGCCGCTTGCCGCCGCTGCAGGTGCTCGCGCTTTGGGAACGACGATTGCAGTTTGCACAGTTGGTGGGCCCCAATGTTCGTACTTTTCCGCCATCTGCTCTTTGCTAAGTCCTTGCCGGCCTCTCCACCTCGACCAGTGAACCAGCTTCTCGCGTTTGTCTTCAAAATCGTAAGATGATGTGGGAGGGGCTAATGCAGAGCGCAAAACAAGTGGTGCATCAGAATTGCGTAAGTTTCCGTACCAGTCACCGCTAGGTTGCACGATGGCATTTGCAGCCCACTGCAGAAGGGCGACAAAGGTGACGAACAATGAGATGAGTCCAGTCATGACGTGGCGGCGAAGCGGCTCACCTTGTGACCACCAACATGCCCAATGCCCCAGATCCGAATCCTTTTGGGCTTGGCGCCGTCCAAGAGCGTGCGTTCCCGGTATTTACGCGTCTCTTCCTCGAGCCTTTCGCAAAGCTCACCTCCCGCTATCCCACACCTGCAATCTCTGCTACCGTGAATGCAAACGAAAATGTCGGAAACATCTTTTGGCTGTGATCGAGCTGTCTGCCGTTTGGCTTGAGAAAGAGCGTCTTCTATCTTGGTGACTAGCGGAGAACCCTGATCGAGGGTATTGAATGAAAGGGACTGTATGCTTGCAGCTTTCCCATCCCGATACAGCAGCATTGCGTACAGCTCGTCGTCCGCTGCGCCCCCCGGAGGCGCTCTCAGAAACCTCGACTGTGCGGAATCCCACTCTCTCAAAGGCGCAGAGGTTGAGCTTGCGCCACCGGCTGAAGCAATGTCTGCCTCCCATGCCGCTAGCTCCCTGGACGGCCCCAGAAGCTCTGCGAGGTTGACATTGCATCCTTCGAGCGATCCGCCTTCTTTGCTCCTGCTCGAGAGCTCAGATAACAAGGGAGACACGCTGTCGATGTGACTGGGCCAAGAACTTCCTCGCCTGTGCTTGTGCGGTATGATGACGATCTGTGTAGTGTATGAAGGAGCGGTGCCTGCCAGCGGTGCCGGGTCATAAGGTGCAGCTGGAACCTTTCCGCTGAAGTCTAAAGCTGTCTGCATATCTGCATTTGGCGGCAGGATCCATGCGGAACTGTGTTGCCATCTCCGAACGCTCGGAGTGGTGATACGCGGGAGTAGCACCGCTGAAGATGTGCGAGCGAACCCAGCACGCGAGACGCCGGACACACCCGTCGCTGTCACCTCGAGGCGAGAGCGACATCTGCCGCATGCTCTATTGAACTGCACCACCGGTACCTCTCGCAGCGCATGTAAGCCCTGCGCATGGAGCGTCGAAGGTCCGAGGCCTGTCAAAAGCCTGCTCATGTCGGCGCGCGTAGTAGCATCTAGGGTTCGCTGGCCATGAATGGTGGTCAGGATGATGGGGCTCGCGGGTGCTACTGGCGCCCAAGCATTCGGCCTTGCGGTCCAGTCAGCTGACCCTGGATGACAACAAAGGCAGGAGGAGTGGAGAGCGATTTCAATTGTAGGAGGCTGGTTTTGATCGGCGAGTATTTCAAACCACACTCAGACCGCGTGCGACTCACGACTCACGATTTTACACACGCAGCAACGCATTTTGTCCGCGCTTCGAAAGGGCGTGCAGCGCGCTCAGCAAGTCAATTTTCGTGCGGGAAGAAGAAACATCAGCTGACGAGCCGCTAGTGAGGCTGTGGTCATGACGCTCGGATCAGACTGGACCGGCTTCTTGCCGGACGTTTTGAGCATGTTACAGTCTGAATGACCAGGCTCGGCTGTCAGGTGTGGCCAGCAGTAGTCCTACGGCAGTACTACTTGCTGTCACATTCACGGAAAAGGTCTCTCTCTACGCGAGCCTGCATTGTCGTAGAATCAAAGGTGCCTCGCTGCCGGTTGATTGAAATCGTTGCGAAGCTTCTACGATCGTGCAGAGCTAGATGCTGAGACACGTAGTCGCCAAGCTCAAGAGGCATTCAATTCATGTACAGGCAGCTAAATGTCCCGATTTGTTGGTGATTGTTGATGCTTGATTGTGGTTTGGAAGCGTACAGTACGGTGAGGTGAAGCACCTTTGAATCCTCGCGTATACACCTCATGCGGGTGGCGCTATGGAACCTTTTGCAAGCTCCTCGATCAATGTTTCGTCTCCAGGGCAGAAAGGCCGAGTCTTGAGATCATCGTAGTGGACCCACACCACCTTCTGACTGGCCAAAGCTTTTGCAACCTGACCATCAAACTTCATCCGTGCCCAGTAGAAAAAGACGCTGTATTGCGTCCTGACTCCCTCCTCAGACTTCTCAAAGTGTATAGTGTGCACGCACTTGTTGTCCGTGACCTCGATGTGAACATCCAGCTCTTCGTGACACTCTCTCGTCAAAGCTTGTGCGTGTGTTTCGCCTTCTTCCACTTTGCCGCCCGGGAATTCCCAAAGATTGGCAAAGTTGGCAGCGTCCTCGTGCCTCAATGACACCAGCAAATCGTAGGCACTGTTTGATGCTGTAACGGAGTGCGCCTCCTCGTCGGCTTGTTTGAGACGATATAGGAGCGCACAGACTACCGGGACAATCCGCGTTGGCAAGGACATGTCCTTGATCCACTAGACTTGGTCAATCGTGAATGCAACTCTCCGGCAAGAGAGTCGCTAATGCCTCCAGTCCTTGTCCGCCGCGGAGTATATGTGGGCCGTTCCAAAAATCTGATTCTCTGGTGTGGAGCAAGAAGCCGGCGTGAGCCAATCTCGACATGGGAGGAGCACGGGGACACAAGCCTTCAGTACTGATGCGCTTCTTCCATGAAGGGTCTTAGCTACGCGCAAAGTGTGAGTGAGTGTCTTCGTGAGCCAAGTACCGCAATCTTGAATCGATTTGCACCGGTGCACAAACAAAGCTGGATCAGGTCTCAAATTTTGGAAGAGAGAGCTGCATGACGAGGCTCGCCCGATTCGAAGCCTCTAATCAAGAATGACGTTCATCTTCGTCAGGAAAGTGAAACTTGAATCAGAATGATCTGATTGAAAATTCAAAGATTCACATTCAAGATTGTGATTTGAACGCGGCAGCTGCTGCGTGACTGTCGCGCGCGTGACCCAACACCTGACCGCAACACAAGCGCGTTCGCCTAACGCGACGATCGAGTTGACGCGTTAACTGGTTCGCCGCGGCCGGCCGAGGGTACCAGCATGCACACGAGCCTGCAATAGCCAGAGCGCCGGGCGAGCTAGGCGAGCAGAGCCAAACAAACCAACACGCGCCTATGCCTACACGGCTGCAGCGCTGTCAACGCACAAGTCAAGGACCGCGATCGCGAACACCCTCCTGTCTTCTCTCGGAGCGTCGACAACAGTATACCTGCAGCCCAATCGACCACTGGCGTCCTCCCAAAGCCAGTTTCCTGACTCAAGAATCTTGCCACCACCAAGCTCGACGTCGCATCCATACGGAGACGGCCCTGACCCTGTCCGTGGCCGCCTCCTTTGGCAAACACCTGAGAGGCCAAGGCCACTAGTACGCATATTCTACAGGCTACTCCACTTTCGTACCAACTGGATGCTGTTACCACTGTGGAGCTCACACTGTTGAGGCATGTCGTATACGCTGCTCGGAGCCAGCTGAGAGCGACGTAAGCTGTTAGCGACGTCAAAGATCTCGCCAACGTCAGCTTGCCGCTTAGCAGCTTTCGAGCACCATGACTGGGCGAAGGCCAGCTCCGGTCCCGAGGCAAGCCCCTCGCAGACCCCTTGCGGAGAAGAACACGATAGCCAATACAAATCCCACTCAACAGGATACTGCAGCGGCTGGTCCCTCCAAACCCAGAATTGCCGGAGCGCGATGGGCGCCCGCCACAAGGAGCGCATCCGTCGCACCGACAGAGAACAAGGAGCCAAGCCCGGCGGCTGATGTGCAACGAGCTGTATGCATGACACGCTCTCCTCAATGGCCTTCTGTGGATCTTGCAGCCTCATCATCGACCAAGCGCATACATGCGGATCAAGAAGCCGCTATCACACCCGCCGCCGCTTCAGCCGAGCGACCGGTCTCTAGGCTTCCTAAGCCCATCATTTCGGAGAAGCGACAGAAACTTGCTACCCTGCAGCCTGCTCCAACTCCTGTGCACCCTGTACCTCGCACGCCCAGGAAGCGTGCAGTACCGCAGGACGATGTACATTGCCGCAACAGGGTGCAGGCCGGCCAACATGACGAAATGGACGACCTGGCTACTGCGACGGGTGAAAGCCCCAACAAGCGAAGCCGCTCGTCGAAGGAAGACTCAGATAGCAGCTCTCATCGCCGCCGCATGGCAACGGACGAGTCGCAGAAAAACTCAGAAAGCACCACAGCAAGCGTGACAGGTCACCTGGTCGAAGTTACAATGCATGATCAGCCTCAAGAGCTTGTCCAACCGTCATCAAATGCGCAACACGGATCCCGCATACATTCTCAGCTGGCGCGTACTCTCGCAGACGTGAAGCAGCAAGAAGCGGCGCGCAGTCCCAAGACTTCTCAGCCCGCACCTGTAACCACATCTCGCTTCCTCAAGCAGTCCGGTGCAAAGACGCACGACAGCGCGTCACGCGAAGCAAGCAAAAGGGAAGCCGACGGAGAGTGGAGGAGAAAGTACGCCAAGAGCTTCCCAACCTTCATCCTCTACTTTGACGAGTTGAGTCCTTCGGACCTGGTCGAAGCAAGCACAAATGCCAAGCGATTTGGCGCGGTGAGTCTTGCTCCTTTGAGGTTCTACGAAGCCGCGCGAGCTGACATGCGTTAGCGCCCGCGCGCCAGATCGTGGCCCCGTTCTTCTCCAAAGACGTCACCCACCTCGTGTCGGCGCACAAGCATCAGTCGCGGCGAGCTCCAGAACCGCTGCGGCAGGCACTCCTCAAGGCGACTCCAGGCGATTCTTTCGAAACACGGGCCAACCATGAAGCTGAACGGTCTACAAGGTCGGCGCATCGCCCCGGTGCAACAAAGCTGGCACGTGAATCGAGACAGTGAGCATCGCGCGTGCGCGAGTTGAGCATATATACAACCTTTCTCATTTGACCGCTCTTCGCTCTTCATCCAGGCAACCACTGCACTCTGGGAGCAACCCTTTCGAGGAGGCAACGCCTGCTCCTCCCGAAAGCTCCATTGTCAAAAAAGCCCGCGACTTCAACATTCGTGTATGGTCCCATGAAAGTATGTAGGAGACAATGGCGCCCGAAGATTCGTTTCGCTGATACTTGACACCGCTGCCGTCCGCTTGTGTAGAATTCTGCAGCATCATTGCGGCGCTCGACGGAGCCCAAGTGCCCGCTCAAGCTCACGATCCTGACAAGCGTCGCCGCAATCTCTCGCAGATGCTACAGCAGGAGAAGCTGCAAGGGACCTCGGAGCGCGACCCTACTGCACCACGCTCCGACTATCACTACTTTGACAAGAATAGCTGCTACATTCTGGTAGAAGATGCCACCTGCGAGCACCGAGTCCTTTTCACGCAAGAGTTCAAGCGCCCCAGAGCCGACGAAGACCCACCGTGGCCCAAATTGTACGGTCAACGCGAGGGTCGGTGCCCCTTCACACGATGGGAGTCGAGGCCAAATGCACGCGCGACTGCGAATCGCCATGAGACTCTGAGACGTACTAGGTCGATGACTGACGTGGCGCGAGGAGCTGTATCTTCGAGGCTCAAACACGGAAGCCACTCGCCACAGCCAGTGCCCTTCAATTTGGAAAAGGCTCGGCCTGAAGCAGCCTCGATGCGCGGAGCCTCGCCCTATCCAATGGCCTCAGGCAACAGCATCGCTTTGACGTCCAACATCCACTCGACGACTTCCACAGCTGCCGGCACTCACACCATTGGGTTTGCGGGTCAGGGAGCTCTTGATCGCAGACTGGTGACCCTGACTGATCGTGGACTTCCTAGCCCATTGGCTGGCCCAGCAGGGAGCGCCGTGGCTTCAGCACTCCCCCGTCACATGACCTTTGCCAGTCATATCTCTCCCAGAGGCATCATGCGTCGCGCCGTGAGTACCGCGACCGGCCTAGCCCAAAGGCAAGCCCTGGCGGCGAAAGACAAGGAGGCACCAAAGTCCAAGCCTGGCAACTGCGAGAATTGCAGAACAAAGTACGACGACTTTGATGAGGTGAGTCGCCATTGTACAAAGAATCTGCGCTGTCAGCCACGCTGATAGACCTTAACTCTGATGCCTTCTGCAGCACGTCGCTTCGAACAAGCACCGCCGATTTGCTCTCAACGACAGTAACTTTGTGGAGCTGGACGAATTTTTGGCAGGCGTCGAACGTCAGTCTGCGCTGTGGTGTGTCGAGATGATGGAGGAAGCGGAGCGCTATCGCGAAGATACGGGAGAATACACTGACGAGCTGCAGGAGGATGTCATGGACGTTAGCGAAAGTTTTGGCACTTCCTGGCCGGTTGCCGAAGATGACTACATGACGGATGGAACGAGTGGTACGAACCAGTACACCAATATCATGGAGGATCCATCTATGGACAACACGGACAACACCAGCACGAGCACTCACACTAGTCCAGATGCGCAACGAAGCCGCGGAGTGCCAGAACCCAAAATGTCTCGCGATGCCGGCGATCGACCTACCAGTCGGATCGAACATGCCGACGTGCACGATTCACTCGGCCTGCACGGGACAGGCGTGCCTTCGGCTCCTGGCTCAGATTCGAAGTCAGACTCTTGCGGCTAGGATGCTCGCTGACCTCAATCGCAGGCACAGCCTCATGTCCACTTGCTCTTCTCCCCCTTCCGTCAAGCGATACCCAGCACGTGCACTAGAAAGACACACCACGACTCCACCAGAAGCCATCCCAACGACCTTTCTCGCGCCATCGCTCCAAAAGCGTGTGGTGATCAAAGCGCTCACATCATCTGCAACTCCGCGCGATACCAGTACAAGACCTGCACATCAGACTGCCTGCAAGACGCATTCCAGCAACCCTGTTCCTGATCGATCCTTCTCCACTACAACAACATGCGTCACCTAAGATAGAGTGGAAACGTAACGTCTGTTCCCCCACTCGTGCGGTTCCACTATAACAAGCCCTCTGTAATATTGTACGACACTTGCCCGTGGGCCATCACGGATCCCAAGATTGCTGCCGCACCTTCGTTCGGAGCTACGGCGCTGCAACGACCGGGTCGCGGGCTACCCTGACGACGAGGGTATCGCCAAGTAATGAGCATGCAGAGACCTGGGGACAATTCCTTGCTTGATGGCCTGAGTAAGCATCCAGCACAGGCTGTGGCAATTGCGACGACAGTGCCAAGCAAAGTATACCCGCTCGGCGCTCTCGAGCAGTGCTGTGGTTTCTGTGTTCCCAAGTGGGAGGGAAAACTTCTGCATCGTATTTGTAAGCATGAGTGATCTGCTCCCAGCAAGTTTGGCACCAGCTCAATCGACTGAAAAGATTGCCATCCCGCGAAACGCCTCTGGACCGCGCTGTGTACACTGCCGAACCGCGTCGTCTAGCTTAGCTGGGGAATTGGCAGCATGTGATTGTGGATGAGCTTCATTGAAATCACAAATAATCGAGCTGCTGCGCGGCTTCACGCGCGGCGCTGGCGCTGCTGCATGTCGAGCCGCGAGCCGTGCCTGTCGCTCCTGCATCAGTCTCACAAGTCATCTCAGCACCATCACACCCGACCTTGCGCGGCATACCTTGTCGTTCTTTGAGCATCTGGGCTTTTCACAGAACATGGCGCCACAGTCTCCATTGCCATCGCCTGCTCTTGCCGGTCCCGCTCGTGGCAAGCCCAACCACGCAGCATCGGCCGGTTCGGGCGCTGGCGGATTGGGTCTACCAGGCTTCTTGCGACGTAGAAGAGCAGTCTTGTTCCTCCTATTCGCCTCCATCACTCTTCTTTTGCTCTTGAACCACTCCAAGCCTGCTGTTATTGGTAGCGGCATACGATGGGTCAAGGACAGTATGCGACCTGTGACGGGTGCGGACAAGAACGCCAGCATTGCTCGATTGGGTCCTCTGCCGCATGTCGAGGAAGATAGACTACTCGGCACCCCTTTGGCAGGAGTTGGATTGCAGCCCGCACCTGCTCTGATCTCTCTCGCTCAAGAGCAGAATGCTCCTTTGCCAGCGAGTACAAAGTTGTCATTGGATGGGACAGGCTCAACTTCGAGCACCAGACCACCCAAATTGACAGATGTGCCTACTAGACTCATCATGCTCTTGAGGCTACTCAAGGATCCCGAGTGGACGGTACCTCAGAAATCTGCGGCTAAACAGCGCCTGGTCGATCCGACCGGTAAGCAGGTGGTGGAAGATTTGAGCAAGGGTAGCGGCGGGCAACAGGAAGCGGACGAGGTGAGTGATGCTTTGCTGCCGCTCTGGGTCTGGCGCTCAAAGCCTCGATAGGGTGTCGCTGATGCAGTAGACTATATTCGTGATTCTTCGTGTCAGTACGTTCAATCCCCAGCGCTTTGGGCAAAGAAGCACCTCCCGCCTCTCGTGATCTTTAGCAAGACCTATTGTCCTTTTTCGGCTCGGGCCAAGGCTTTGCTGAGAGGATTAGGTGCCAAATTCGATCCGATCGAGGTCGATTTGCGCAAAGATCCCGAGGAAGTCAAGAGCGTCATGACTTTGCTCTCGAGTGGCCATGCGACTGTGAGTAGTCAGATGCTGTGATCATTGTGCTCGGCCTTGCGATGCTGTTGATCTGACCCAAGGTCGCCTCCATCACAGTTCCCGACGATCTTTCTGGGCGGACAGATGATTGGAGGCGCTGACGATCTGATTGCACTGCACAAGGATCTAGGTATACTTGAAGGCATGCTCCGCGGCGCTGGCGCCATCTAGGCTGTCCACCTTGTACTCTACATTGCTGGGTTTCGCGCTTGCTGGATGGACGATGAAATCATAGCTTTCGACGCTCGTCAAGCTCGAGACACAATCACAGGCGAAACTCGGATAGAACGAGAAGTTGCGGTGGTGCGCGCGGAGAAGATTGCGCATGTGGATGCTGTACACAAAGGAAGCCATAGAGTACATGTGGGATTGAAAGGTGGTGCTTGAGGCCCGATGGGAACGTCGTTGCTTCGCGCGCCCTCCGGTGCGGTCCACCTGACCCCATTTCTCGAGAACCAGCGTTTGACGAGAGACCCTCGCCTTGCTACGCTATGACGCAGCTGGACCCTCGTCCAACGCCCTTTGATTGATTTCGCTTCTCCAACATGTTCAAGATCTCCTTGGCCCCAGCCCAGTCTGCTGCGGCCACTCCATCATCCCACGCCACGAGGATAGGTCCTGGTCTCAATCTGACAGGCAGTGCAGAAGTGTCCTCGTCCACGCCCGACAGATCCGTCGCTTTTTGCAGTTCTGCATATTCAGTCGCATTCGGCTCTAGTGGCGTGGCTGCGTAAGGTTCCTTTTCGCTCGCCAAAGCCGGAGAGGTGGATTCGGAAGCAAGAGGCACGGCAGACTGAGGCTTGTAACCTCTCGCCTCTCTGATCCTCGTCCTGACCGATCCGTCGGGCGGTGCAGCTGCGCTGCCCACTACCGCTGGGTGTGTCTGTCGACCATCATTTCCGTGAGCGTGCTCCACAGAAGCAGTGGCCGCGCCTTGCATCGCTGCATAGTCGATGGCGTCTTGGGCGAATGCGCTGGGTGTGGCGACGTGCGCGGGCAGGTAAGACCGGATAGACTGCCATTGTGTCTCTGTAGGTGGATTAGAGTGTCGATCGATGATTTGCAACTCTGCGAATGGCTCTTCAGAGCCGGGAGCTGAGCGGGCTACAAGCTCCAAGTAACCCTGAGCTTCGGAGCGCGAAGCATCTGCGACGGATTGTCCGGCTTTGGAGGCCGAGGAAGCTGAGAGTCGCTTGTGAAGCTCTTGAAGAAGCCGCACTGATTCTGGAGAGTGAGGATCGTGCCAGAGTGACAGCAGAGGCGTGCGAGCGTGGAAACGAATGGACATGCTTCGATGACGGATTGGTCGTGGCGATACTCTTCTGTTGCAAAAATCTTCTTCAGATCGGCTGCGATGTCGATTTTTGGCCGAATGCCACGGTCGCACAACAGAAGCAATGGCCGGTGACTAGAGAAATGCCGTAATGGAGGATGTATGTGCGCACGAGGCGGATATGAGGATGCACTTACGATTACGAGTTCCACGCAGTGATTCGTCGTGTGCGCATACAGCTCACGTAGTGCGGAGATTGAAGGTATAGTCACGAATCAGGGGAACAAGAGCAGCGGGGGCGCGCTCCCTCCACAAGTGGATCATGCACCGCGGTGCATCGCCGGACCACGCGCGCGTGGATGGATGCTGATGCATGGGGAAGGCGCGGGGCGCGCGCGCTCTCGTCGGCTCCTCGCACCCTCTGACATTATCATCCTTGCACTCGACTCACGGCTCGGGTCTTGCCACTGCATTCACAGCCTGAATCTCGTAATTGTGACCACTGCTGGATACAGCTCACCAGAATCTTCCCTTTGAAGCCGTGCAGGATGACCATCACGCACATCGTGTCCTTCCGCTACGCGGAAACAGTGGACCAGGCCACCAGACAATCGGTCTTTCAGCGGTTCCTTGACCTGCGCTCGCTTTGCAAGCTACAAGATGGCAGCGCATACATTGCCGATGTGATAGCTGGCAATGCCAACATCAGTCCAGAGGGCGCGGGGAAAGGCTTCGATGTGAGTGTTGCGATGCTTCGTACGCCTGGATGCGTGTCTAACTCATCCATCTTCTCGCCATCCCAACATTCTCACATCCCCCTTTTGACTGCTTCCTTTCGGGCCGTGCAACCTCATCACAGCACACCTTTATTGTCACTTTCAACAACGCAGATCATGTCAAGCACTATCTCGAAACAGACGCGGCCCATCTTGACTTTGCAGCATTTGTCAAGCCTCTGCTCGTCGACGCTTTCATCTACGATTTTCACACGCAGCGAGCATCCGCATAGGAAGGGTGCGACTCTGCGTCCTGAACGCAGAATGAAGTGCACTCGCAGCATCGTTGTGTTCCATGCCGCTGCGCTGCATCTGCTCTACGGTCCTGGATCTAGGGTGCAGACTCATTACCCTACCCCTCCTTGTCAAGGGACAGCGCGATCGCAGCGTACCTACATCTGTTGCACAGCCATCTTGGAGAGGTGTGTACCGGTAGCCCCAGTGCATACTCACGGCGCTTCTGTTAGAGCAGTGCAGCGCATGCCTGCTGCCGACGCGTCGGATGTCCGTGTCTTCACCGATTGCACTAGAGACTGCACGCACGTATCAGCGTTCATCGCAGCAATGGCCATCGTCAGTACCACATGATGACGAGTCAGGGCGTGGACAAGAGTCAAAGTCCGTCGTGAGTCTCCTGCCGCAGTCCTGTCGAGGCGTAGAAGCTCGGCGACTAAACGTAGACTCAGAAACACCGAGCGCTACCGCAGGGATGTAGAAAGACACCGACGTCAGCCAAGCTTCGTAGCTATGGAACCTGCCGTTGCCGCAGGAACTGTGACTGTTTGCATGTGCTGCGAGGAAACGTAGGCGCCAAGCATCAATCTGAATCTGTTCGGCATATTTGGTGAGCCCCTCTGCAATGGGTGCAAGATACGGTCAGTGGTATTTTGAAAATCTCCGCAACATCACAGCAAAGCTGTCCATCCACAGCACTGCGTACAGGGCGCAGATGTCGTCTGTCTAGATGCCTCCTCAAGAGAGAGCGAAGACCGTGCAACAATTGCGGGTGCAACTCGGCCGACTGCAGACTCCCTGCGTACTCATTCCACTCTCATTCTAAACCCCGAGGCTAGTGCTATGAGCCAACTCAACTTGCCCGTTGTCTTCCACAATGCTCGGCAGTGGTAGTCATCATGGCGAAGATCCGTTAGGCACAGACGTGGTACCTGGTAGGCTTCAAGGGACATGCCAAATATGCCACGGTGCTTTCATGCGGATCAGTCAATGCCCTGACCGTTAGCACCAAACGTAGAGCGAGCTAGCTAGCATTCTGCCACGGAGACCCGCTGACGCGATGATATTGCGTGCACAACTGCTGACACGATGGGAGTGCGTACAAGGTGTCTTGGTCGATGCAATCAAGAGTGAAGGCGAGCTAGGCGTGTGGATACGGGGATGTCAAACATGCGGGCGTGCGAATGGGGTTGATCCACGGCACCAGCCAGAGTCCGAGAACAGAGGTGCCAGTAGCGATTGTTCGTCCAAAAGCAGTCTTGCACCCTTCGAAGCTGGCGCCCAAGGTCGTTGGCGAGCCCGTTAAGAAAGGACCGGCGATACTCCAAGGTTTTCAGCCATTTACTGTGGGTCTGCTCTAGGTGTTCTATGTTCCCCGTAGAAGCCATCCACGTAGTGAACTCTCACTCATAGTTTGAATGTGGTCGAGTCTTGTGTTGATCTGACCAAATCGGCCCTCAGAAAAATCACCTTCGGAGAGAGAGCTTCCCTGTCGCCATGGATCGTCGGCAAGCTCTTCCGAGCGCAACTCCCGCGTATGCGAGCCAGAATCGAGCGGGTCGCAGTGCAGCGCCTCGTCCAACAGCGACCCTTCCAAGCTCCCCGGTAGGATCTGCCGCAAGTAGCGCTCTCTCTGCGTCTGGCGATCTCGGACCGTATAGTCACATTCGACACGGCTCGATGGGAGGCATAGGAGCGCGCGGGGCTGCTTCACGGATTAACGCTCCCAGTCTCTCGGAAGTGCAAGACCCTTTGCCATCAACAAGCAGATCAGCTGCGCCCAAATTCGCCAAACAGGGACCAGGACTGTACTCCTCGCTGAAGAGCACATACTCTCACTCTGCCTCGAGACCTTACGCTGCCGTGCCCGGGGATCCTCACGATGAGCGCTCGTCGCTCCACTACGCTTCCGCTGGTCCCGAAGCGGACGACTTTCTTCATAATCCAGACTACAAACGAGGCTATTCTGGGCACTTTGATGGAGGAAGAATCTCCTTACGAGGACTACTCAACGTCGGCACTCTGATCATACTCGTACTCGGCCTGTTGGGACTCTTCGCAGGCTACCCGATACTCGCGCATTTCGAGGAGCTCAATGGACAGCTTCCTACTGGTTTGAACGGGTCGGGCCAGCTGCCCATAGTGGTCAACGCGTTGAATCTCCGAGACCACGACACACCGCCGGAGGCTTGGTCGTGGAAGAATCCGGATGGAGAAGACTACCACCTGGTATTCTCTGACGAATTTGAAGTTCCTGGTCGCACTTTCTGGCCAGGTGACGACCCGTATTGGGAAGCCGTCGATATTTGGTATGGTGCAACTAAAGATTACGAGTGGTACATGCCTGAGCAGATCAATACGACGTCGGGCTATTTGCAGATCACCATGAGCGACCGACCTACTCACGACCTGAACTTCCGCAGCGGGATGCTACAGTCTTGGAACAAATTTTGTTTCCAAGGTGGCTACATCGAGTACTCGGCTATTCTGCCTGGCTCTCCGGACACCCAAGGTTGGTGGCCTGGTGCGTGGCTCTCAGGCAATCTAGGACGACCGGGATATTTGGGCACGACGGAAGGCACTTGGCCCTACAGCTATTCTGGCTGTGACACTGGCATCCGACCCAACCAGACGACTCCAGATGGCTTACCAGAATCGATATCTACAGCAAAGCTGTATGGCAAGACCGGCTTATCGTGGCTGCCAGGCATGCGTTACTCGTCGTGCACCTGCCCGGGCGAAGACCACCCTGGACCATCGAACGACGTAGCGAGAGCTGCGCCTGAAATAGACGTTCTCGAAGCGCAGACACAAAAAGGTGTCGGTCAGGCATCGCAGAGTCTCCAAGTAAGCATCGTGCGAGTGCATTGGAGGCGCAGCCGCAAAAAAGAGCGACTGCTGATCGAGGACGTGCCCTTTGTATGACAACAGGTTGCTCCTTTTGACGTAGGGCACAAGTGGATTCAGAACGCAGCTACCATCTACGACGAATCGGTCACCC